TGTGAAGAAGAGAGACAGCATATATAATGCGCCAGTAATGCCAGCCATATCCTGGGTTCATATGAGCGCGCAGCATGCTCTTATTGAAAGAAAAGGGTGGCACCGCCGAAGACACTTGCAAAACGATAGTCAGCCTTACGCCACCGAAACAAAGGCTGGTATTCGATACTTGTAGAGAAATATCAAACAGGCGTACAAAAATTGTTGCGCTCGTTGTCCTCGACCCCAATAGATTTCTGAAACGGACATCGTATCGATCTCTGTACACGTACTACAGACAATGGGCCTTTAGTCCCTTACTTCCCCAGTCGATGTTCCCCTGAGAAACTATAGATAGTGAACACCATAGCGGGTACATCATTAAGCACTTGCAGCCCCCAGTCTTTATCAATTAACAAAGGTCTTGGTGGGCTCAATATCGTGCCGTTCTTCGAGAGTCTCTGATTCCCTCCGATGAAACGGAAATGTCTCGGACACAACGAGAAGGATGCAGACTGGATTTCGATCCAGACCAGTTGCGTAAATTAACTTGGCGCCCAGTTCACTTGGTAAATTTCATGGTCAGTTTTGCTGCCCTAGGGTCTATCTTTGACCTTCCTCCGGTTCCGGGCTCCGCGGGTTTACCATCTTGGTCATCAGTAATTAAGCGATGATGCCTAGAGGGATTTTGATTTAGGTGAGCACGCTGTAGGAAACATTTCCGCTGAAGTGTAGAAATTGCTGCAGGGCATGATGGTCTAGCCACTGTGCCTGACTGTTAACTACTAATCAGGGAATAGGAAGTTAGCCCTAAAGCACATACATTTGCCCCCCCACCAACACCCCACCCCCACACTTCTATGATTTACAAATTCGCTGACGTTTTATCCTAAATACGCACAGGTCTACTGAGCACAGATACACAATCAGGGCTAACTAAGTGAATACCTTAGCATCTAAATCCCTCAAGCCCCTTGAGACATGAGGGGAAGTATCCATTACCGCGGAGTTTGTCGGCTATCATACCTCATGGAGGAAAGGGCTGACGACATAAGCTGAGATGCTTGGACTTCAGACCCCACTTCCATGGCGCAGTAGATCCTGGAAATTGCATCCGGGCACTGGCAGATGGTAATTAGAGTGAGAATCGTGATGCCTCCATACTCATAGATTACCGGTGAACAGAGATCTATGCATTCACCCATGCGTCCAACGAATAAATTAATCATCGATGAGATTCAAAAAAAAAAAAAAAAGACTCTCCCTTCATAGGTTGTACTATCAAGATAGACAGGGTTTCCAGCATAATGCAACCGGAAGAGAGTTTTACTTCTCAGCTGGTCAACGGAGCAAATCAGAGTAGAGTCTAGGATCACATTTTGCAGACACATCCCACGATCTTCTCACTGCAGGGAGGGGGCGAGGGGAACCATTCAACGCATTCAGAGATGAGGTGGTGTTGAACGCCCACGTGTGACAATCAGGGAAAGTTATCGCGTACCGCGAATAGAATAGGGTTTCCACTCTGTTTTCCTCATGCAACCAAACTTCGCGCACGAGCACGAGGCATGCATCTTGATATGCTCGTCGATCCGGTACCCGAGGATTAGAATTGAGTGGAATGTCTTCGGCGTTCCAAGGATACTGGGAATCTTGTATAGAGGCTTGTACACCACGACATCATCGTGCTTTCGGATTGTGTTACTTGTGTGTTTGACGGTAAATCTTGGAAGTGGAGCGGGGGGAGGTTGGAGTATGAGTTATTATCATGACATATGTGGATTAATCGTATTTGGGGTATACGGAACATGTCGAAGGTGTACTAGGTACTTTGCTTAGAGTACCTGGTTCGTTTCTAATGAAGTCCAATCTCATACTAGTACCATCCTTTGTGTATCTGTGCGTAGACAATTACTCGGAGTAGGATGGCAGCAAAGGAAAGAAAGAGAGCGAGATAAGCTAGTTACAGGGCGTAAATTACGATACCGAAGGGTCGGTACTCCGGAGAAGGTCTGGATCGCTCCGGAAGGTCCCGGCGCTGTCTGAAGCGGGCCTGAGGAGTGTCAGCCAATGAACAGGCCCACGCGAGGCGATAGACGGTTTCTGTTCGTACGCAACCATGTATTCAAGATTACCACGATAGTGTGGGAACTATAAGGAAAAAGGAGAGATAAGAAGGTCGCACTGGCCCTACAAAATGTACATGGCATGCATGTACTCCGTACTTTCCTCTTAGTACTCCGTTACAACTCTCCCCATAAAAGGAGTAAGGATCCGGAGTCCCTGGTATTACTCATACCGTACCTTCTTTGCCTGCTGATCATCCGGCAATCAACTTTGTGGCCGCCTGACTTGACATTCCATCCGCGACTGCTATTATTATTCGTACTATTAGTCCTGACGGGCTTTGCTCCTTACTTTCCCCCCTCCTCTTTCTCTCTCTTCTCCTTTCATCAAAGCTGTCCTCTCTCTCTCTCTCTCCTCTCCAGAAACAAAGCACAGTCAAGGATTACAATCGGTTCATCTTGTCGATATTCTCCTTCGTTCCTGAACTCTACGGTTCCGACGGTCGCGTGCCTCTTAAAGACTATCTGAACTAGCGCGTCGCATCGCATCTACCCTGACGTATCATATCATTGCTGCATCTCAGTTTCTGCGGTCAGTCTTTAGCCAGTGTGCGGTAAGTTGCAGCCTCCCTCTCCCCTATTTTCAAAAGTTCCCTCGGGGTTCTTTGTTTCCAAAACATTTTTGGTTCTTTGCTTGTCCATGGTTCTGTCTGTACATACATAAGCACAACCACTCTTTAGGTACCCAGTCACCATCCCTCCCACACTTCAGGTCGTGCCTTCCGGTTGGTGGATTACTCTTCTGACTCATGTGATTACAGATTAGCCACCACAACTACTAAATAATAATACTTCTTCTTTCTCACCATCATGGCTGCTCAGACGACCACCTCTAGCATTGCAATGGCGCTTGCTGGCAAGACAGCCTCTGTGGATATCCCCAAACCTCGTTCTGCTTTCACTTCTGGTGGCCGCGATTCCTCCCGTTCAGGTCATACCATGCTACCGACTCCCCCTAACTCTATCTCCCCAACGCTTCCACCCCAGGCCTTCAAGGGCCAGGACGTGAGGCATCCCGCATCTCCTCCTTTTGCCACATCTCAGGTTGATTCCGATATCGATTTGGGCGACGCCGATGCAGACACTCAGAATCAGCACCATCAGGGTGTTGGTGATCTTGACAGCACTGGGACAATCACCCCCAGTATGCTAGCCAAATATCACCTACCGGACATCATGCTACAGCACGGACCCCTCGCCATTCGCCATGTCATGGGCTACTTGACAACTTCAGTGCCCGGGTTTTCTCGAATTCCTCCCGCTAAAGCACGACGACTAGTCGTTGCGGCATTAGAAGGTCGGGGAAGTGATGAGAAAAGTGGCGGTCCTGCAAATGATGTTATCTTTGAGAAAGTTGGATGGGGTCGTTGGGACGCACGACGTCGCGGCGAACCCTCACGGGATGCGCAACATCAGAACCTATCGCCACCCTCTAGCTTCTCGAACTCCTTCTCTCAGCGAGGGATACAGATCCCCGGAAAGAGAGGGAGTCTGCAGCCTTACGGGTCCAGCGTGACTGGCGACTCGGCTGTCTTCTCGTTTACGGAAATGGATTATGCTGGACATATCTCGGAGCATGAGGCGGATAAGATGTCACTCGATGGGAATGAACAGGAGTACTGTTCATCTTCCGAGGCTCCAGAAGACGAGATTCAGGATGAGGACTGGGGCGAAGAAGATGTCACCGACGAAGAGGATTGGGCACAAATAGGTGCTGCAGCGCTTCGTGCGCGGTCCTTGAACGGCGGGGGCGGTTTCGTCCACGGACTCCATCCATCGCCACAACTTCGGGGCGGTGGGCCTGCATCATCCTCTTTGGCGAAGTCTGCGCCGCGCAAGCTCCTATTCAACAACTTGGCTTCTCCCTTCCAGACGGTATGGTAGGCAATACCGAGGAGCGTGCCGCGGTGGAGGCGCTTTTGCGTCTCGGATCCATGTAATGTTATATCTTGGACAAAGGACCCGGCTCAGATTATGCCCATTGCGTTTTATATCTTGGAGCTTCATGGCCGGTCCTTGGCTCAAGCATGTTTTTTGTTTGTTTTCTTCACGTTCTACGACTCACCTTTGAAAGGGATGTGCCAGCTAACTCGACTGGTTCGAGGTGTTGGCTATGATGCATTGGGACTTGGATTGAACTGGCGTTCTCATGGTATTTTCTCTCGCAGCTGAGACCGCTGCAAGTTATTGCATTATGCCTTAATGGCTGTCTTTCCTTTTTCTTTCCTTTTTTTCTTCTTCACATTCCCTTATTTATTTGTGGGTTCTGCAGTGACTTCGATAAATATCCTGCTACCCTGTACTCCTCATTGCATATGCCCGGATAATAGGGCAGTCATCTCTACTCTCTACTTTGCATTATAACATACCGAGAGTTGTATCATCTCGATCATCGTCCATATGATTTTTTGGCCGACACAGAAATTATTGACGGCATTATTGACGACCGGAGACAGAATCTGCGGTTGTGGAAATACGATCTTATATAGAACTAATCAAAGTTTGCCTTCAACGGCGACAAGACATATAATAGAAGCATACATACTCATTATTCCTAAGATTGAGAATGGACCCATCAAAGCCTTGCTCCGCATTGTAGTCCTGTATTATTGGCCACTATAATTCAGCTCTTTAAGAATTTAGTGCTATCGATAACCAATGCATTTTTTAAACACCCTGATAGAACCACCAATGATTTCAACGCATGGAATACACTGAAGCGACAGAACAAAATTATACAACTAATACCAACCAATCCCATCAAAGCAACAACTCCATTCCAACCCACTCTGAAGCCTCCATCATACAACCATGAACCAAAAGAAGCCCAACACAATCAGAACCCTAGAAAATACAAAACAATTTCCCCCCGCAAAGCAAAATCACCGTACGAATCTACTTATCATGAGCTTCATTAATCCTCCGCCAAACCTCAGCTTCAACCTCCGCCAACTTATTCCCCGCGCTCCAGAACCACGCCTTGGCATTGTCAAGAAATCCCGATTCACCGGTCCCTATTTCAGTGTTGGAAGAGGTATAGTGCAGCGGTAGCTGGGACGGATTACCCGAGAGAGATGTATTGTTTGCTGTACTCGTCGGCGGCTGGTAGAGAGATGCGTAGGGCGTGGATGTTGAATTCGGAACCGCGGATTGCGTTTGAATGTGCGAATTGGGATGTCGCTGTGTTAACGACGATGATGGGGAGTAGCTGTAGCTGTACCCAGATCTGGGATTTGGGTTTGAAGCGGTAGTTGGGGGAGAGGTAGATGTAGTAGCAGTAATAGGAGTAGGAGGAGAAGCAGTAGTAGTAGTAGGGTTAGACTGGGTACTTGCCGCCAACGGTGCTTGTGCTTGTGGTTGCGGGATATCGGCTGGTTTGGGTGGTGGAGGGTTTGAAGGAGATGGCTCTGTTGGTTCTTGGGTTGCTGGTGGTGGAGGATGTGGTTGAGCGCCGGGTTGGGGTGGTGGTGGTGAGGTATTAGTAGTCATCGTCGTCGTCGTTGTTGTCGTCGCGGCGGTGGTGGTAGTAGCTGG